CCCAGAGCCGGAGGTGCACTGCGGTCCGGCCAGGGGGCTAAGAGGAGCCGGCGGGTGGGGCCGGGGGTGGAGAGGAGCCCTGGGACAGCGGAGAAGAGCAAGTGGTGGGTGGGGGGAGCCAGCAGGCTGGCAGGATCTCAGGGCTCAGTGCAAGCAGAGCAGGCCAGGGCCCCTTCTGAGCATGGGCCCGGCTCCATGGTGCCACTGGAAACCCGAGACTGGCCACCTGCTGCTGGATTCAATCAGCGTCTGCCCTGCCCCAGGGTTACCCAGAGCTCCTGGGGAATCTGCCCCAGTCCCAGAGCCAGGCAAGGAGTCCCAGTCCCACTCCAGCCCACAGAGGTGAACAGAGACAGACACACACAATCCCCAACCAGCAGCACACGGCCCCAGAGAGACGCACAAACTTCCCACACTGACATTCATCCCCACGGCCCTGCTGGGTAACAACACTGGGCACCTACCAGGTACTCTGGGCTTCTCCTTTCTCTGGTCAGTTTCAATCCCAGGAGCTTTTCTCTCTCTTCCTTCAGAGCCTGCAGTCGGGTCTGGAATTGTTCCTGGGCAAAGGGACATGGGAGGTGCGGGGGAGGGTGTTAATTTTTTTCTTTTGGAGCATGAGGCTCAATGATCCTCCCCTCCCCCCAACAATAACGCTGCTGCGCGGATTTAGCTTTCCAGTTTATTTAACCGAGCAGCAGGCCGGGAGAGCACCCACATGGCAACTCACGGGCCAGGCCATGGAAGATGCAGGAACTGGGGGAGAACCCCTGGTCACAGAGGAGATCTAGTTTATCTTAGGAATGCAAGCTAAGTCCAGGCCTCCAACATACAAACCCTAGTGCCTCCCTATGTAGCAGTGGCCTCTCAGCGTGCTTGGCAGAGATCTCTTTCCTACAACTCTGCTCCCATATTGCTGATTGCTAGTAAAACAGAAGGAGGCAGGTTTGCTCCAAAAATTCATCATCAATTATTCCTAAGATTGAGGGCCAAGATCAGTAACTTCACCTAATGATCCTGATAAGATCATTGTAATTAACAAATAACAACCAATAAAGTGGCAGAAGATACGGAGTTCAGGTGAAAGGAACCCCAACATCGGAACATCTGGAAATTCACAAGTAAGGTGCCAGACTCCATGAGGTCTGTCTGAACTGCTGAGCTTTGGCCTCTGAAATCTAGGTTTGGAAAAAAGCCACCGGTACAAATATTGTTAGTGGGCAAATATTTCCTACCTTGTCCTCCTGGGCAGCCTCCTCTATGGGAACCACCCTGTGAGATCTGGCTCAGAGCCTTGGCTCTCTCACATACCACACAGATGGGGGGTTTGGTCCACTTCACAGAAGAGTTTCTGGGCCTCCTGGTGTCTCTCACACACTCACTCGTCCTGAGCCTTTGGCCCTCTGGCTATTTCGATAACTCTCGCCAGTTCCCTGCTGGGCTGCAGGTTTCTCTGCTGGGCAGTTTCTCTGCACTGGGGGCAGGAGAAGTTTGGCTCCGACTCCCCCCAGCAATGGCTGATGCAGGCCCGGAAGAAGTTGTGCCCGCAGTGGACAGACACCGGCTCGTGGAAATACTCCAGGCAGATGAAACAAGAAGCTTCCTCCCGGAGACTTTCTGCAGTGCAGGGCTCTCTGCAGGCAATGGACCCCGGCGGGAAAGGGGTAACCAAGTTAGTTTGAATTTACAGCCCTCTGGCAGAGGAACACAGGATGGAATTGGGTGTTTCCCTTCCTGGATCTGTCTCATTGGCTGAGCCGCGTCTGTGACTTCTCCAGGCCCCTGGGGGGATCTGGTGAGAAACGTGATCCTCTGTGTGCTGGGGACAGTGTTTAAACTCAGGTTAATAGGACATTTACACTGGAAATAAAGTCAGACAGAGAGATTTTGTTCCCTTAGGGGAAAACAGACTTTAAAGGCAACGTCACTCTTTGAAAATAAATAAATAAATGGAATTCAGTTATTTGACTCCCAAATCACCACATAAGAACAGCCACAATGGCTCAGACAAGGTCCATTAAGCCCAGTGTCCTTCTGACAGTGGTAGGGTGACCATGGGACTGGTTTTTTGATTGGAACACCTGGTCGAAAAGGGATCCTGGCAGCTCCAGTCAGCACTGCTGACCAGGCTGTTTACTGTCCGGCTAGCAGCGCCACTCAGCGGGGCTGGCAAGGTTCCCTGCTAGCCTCCATGACGTGCGGCTCCTGGGAAGCAGTTGGCATGTCCTCACTCCGGCTCCTACGCATAGGGGCAGCCAGTGGGCTCCACACGTTGCCCCCCGCCCCAAGCACCACCCTCCCACACTTCGAACTCCCCAGCCCAGAGCCCCTTCCTGCACCCCAAATCCCTCATCCCCAGCCCCACATCAGAGCCTGGCACTCTCAGCCGGAGCCCTTACCCCCTGCCTCTCAACCCCCTGCCCCAGCCCGGAGTCCACTCCTGCACCCTGAACCCCTCATTTCTGGCCCCACCCCAGAACCCACACCCCCAGCCCAGAGCCCGTATTTTCTCCCACACCCCAACCCTCTGCCTCAGTCCGGAGCCCCCTCCTGCATCCCAAACCCCTCATCCCTGGCCCCACCTCAAGCCCGCATCCCAAGCCCGAGCTCTCGCCCACTCTCGCACCCCAACCCCTTGCCTCAGCCTGGAGCCCCCTCCCTCACTCAGAACTCCTCATATCTGTCACCATCCTGGAGCCCGCACCCCCAGCCGGAACCTGCACTCCAGCCCCCGGAGCCAGCCCGGTGAAAATGAGCAAGTGAATGAGAGTGGGGAGAGCTAGTGACCGGGGGTGGAGGATGGAGTGAGGGGGACGCGAGGCCTCAGAGAAGGGGCGGGGCATGGGCGGGGTCTTGGAGGAGGGGCGGGGCAGGGTGTTCAGTTTTGTGCCAGCAGAAAGTTGGCAACCCTAGACAGTGGCTGATGCCAGGTGCCTCAGAGGGAATGAACCGAACAGGTAATCATCACGTCACGTGAGCCATCCCCTGTCGCCCATTCCCAGCTTCCGGCAAACCTGGCTGAGTGGGAGCCATTTAATCAGCACGGAGGCAGGAATCTCCTGGCTTCCATACAGGGCGCAGCAGGAGGCATGGGGCAGGATGGTCCGGGAGATCAGAGGCTGCTAGGAGCGAGCAGGCTCCAGCAGAGAGGCCTGGGAGTACAGGTATGTCTGCACCGCACTGAAAGATCTGTGGCCTGGCTGCGGCTGGCCTGGCTTAGCAGACTCGGGTTTGCAGGGCTCTGAAATATCAGTGTGGACATTGGGGCTCGGGCTGCAGGGTCCGCGGCTGCCCGCGCAGTTCTTCCCATGGCCCGGCTGTGGCTCCGCGGACCTGCTTCAGACACAAGATTCTGGCTGATGTATCTTTACCAATGGCCCACTAGACCCTTCCTTTCTGCTTTCAGGAAGAGTGGCTGGCAGAATATGGATCATATCATACATTCAGGACTTTGGACCGGAGCCCGGAGCTGGAGCGCGGAGCAGCTCCGGAGCAGTAGGTTTTTGCCTGGAGCTGGAGCGGAGCCGGAGCACAGCTCCAAAGCCCTGGATACATAAATACATTTAACACATGCTACATTATTAACATTCTTTTATTTTTTATTCTAAATTATACAAAATACAAACATAAAATCCTCCTACTACACGCTGCAGTGGCACACTGTGGACGCGCCCTCGGCTGCCAGAACAGAATTTGACCAAGCTTCGTAGTGTTGTGTGTAGACCAGCCTCAGTCCTATTGACACGGCTTGTCACACGGCGATTTCATACTGTGTCCTGCCCAGAGAGGGGGGGAATTTCCCCTCCCCAGGGACTGCAACTCCTCACAGCTCAGAAAATGAAGGAACTTCAGCAAGGGAACCGCCCAGTTGCTGACCAAGGCTGAAGAGATTGTAAAGTGAAACTAACCTTTTCATTCTCCCCCTGGCAGGCAGCCATGGCAGCCCCGGATCCTGTGGAGTGTTTGCAAAAAGAAGTTTCTTGTTCCATCTGTCTGGATTATTTTACTGACCCGGTGTCTATCGATTGTGGGCACAACTTCTGCCGCGACTGCATCAGGCAGTGCTCGAAGAAATCGGAGGCCAAACTCTCCTGCCCTCAGTGCAGAGGCATGGCCCTGAAGAGAACATTCAGGCCCAGCCGGGAGTTAGCAAATGTGGCCGAAATAGCCAAACGGCTGAGTTGCCAGGCTGCCCAAGGGGCTGGAAGGGAGAGGGTGTGTGAGACCCACCAGGAGGGTCTGAAACTGTTCTGTGAGGAGGATCAAAGCCCCATCTGTCTGATCTGCAGAGAGTCCCGCGCTCACAGATTTCACACTGTGGCTCCCATAGAGGAAGCTATCCAGGACTACAAGGTAAGAAACTACGGTTTAGCGCCATTTTTGTACCAGATTTTTTTTTTTAATCCTTATTCTTTTCTCTATTTCAAAGGACACATAGCAGGAGTCAGATAATCTCTCACATGCACAAATCTGTAGAGGGAAAGTGACCACACCTCCCTTAGATTAATAGAGGATATTGTGAAGGCCAAGACTATATCAGAGTTCAAAAAAGAACTAAATATAATCATGGAGGACAGGTCCATCAATGGCTGTTAGCCAGGATGGGCAGGGATGGTCCCAAGCCTCTGTTTGCCAGAAGCTGGGAGTGGGCAACAGGGGGTGGATCACTTGATGATTGCCTGTTCTGTTCATTCCCTCTGGGGCACCTGGCATTGGCCACCGTCGGAAGACAGGATACTGGGCTAGATCAGGATACTGGGCTAGATGGACCTTTGGTCTGACTCAGTATGGCTATTCTTGTATGGCCAGAAGGGACCAGTATGATCATTTTGTCTGCCTTCCCGTATAAAACAGGCCATAGAACTTTGCCCAGTTACCTCTGTATCGAACCAAGTGACCTGCGTTTAGCTAAACCACTGCTTCCAGAAAGGCATGCAGTTATGATCAGAAAACTTCAGGAGCTGGAGAAACTCTGCCACTTCCCTGGCTACTCACCCTCACTGTTAACATTTTGTGCCTTATTTGTCATTTGAAATGATCTGTCTTTAATTTCCAGCCATTTGTTCTTGTTGCATTATCACCCAATCCACTAGATTAAAGAGTCCTTTAGTACCTGGCATTTTTTCCCCCTTTGAAGGTATTTATGCACTAATCAAGTCACCTTTCAATAGTCATGATAAAAATAATCAGATTGAAATCCTTAAATCTCTCATTGTAATGGCTGGTCTACACTGAAAACTTACACTGACATAGCTACGTCTCTCAGGGATGTGAAAAATCCCCCTAGCCCTAGTGTAGACAGTGCTACCCCACTTCTTTGCTCAACCTAGCTACCGCCTCTTGGGGCGGTGAATTAACTACAACAGCCAGAGAACCTCTCCCATGGCTGTAGTGTGTGTCTACACTGAAGTGCTACAGCAGCCACTGTAGCGGTTCAATTGTAGACATATCCCTAAGTCGTTATTTCTAGCCCTTCAGTCATTTTTGTTGCTCTTTACTGAACCCTCTCTGATTTTTCATCGTTCTTGTAAAAAAGTGGACCCTGGAATGGGAGGCAGTATTCCAGGATCAGCCTCACCATGAACATATACACAGGTAAAAAAATATACAAACTAGTCACGACTCCACTGTTTATATATCCAGGGATCATATCAGCCTCCGCATCGCAGTCGGAACACATGTCGAACAGTTTGTCCACACTGACATCTAAATCCATTACAGCAGTGGTCCTCAAACTTTTGAGGGTCATGCCCCCCTTACCCCTGTCCGCGTCCCCCTGGCTCCCCCCCCCTCCCCCCGAGCCAGGACCGGGAGCAGGGCTGCAGCTCCAGGCGGGGGAGGGAGGGCAGACAGGGGTAAGGGGGTTGAGGCTGCGGCCGGAGCTGGGGTGGGTCGGGGCTGGGCCAAGGCTGGGGGCAGGTGCGGGAGCAGACCCGCAGCCGAGCTGAGATGGGGTCAGGCAGCTGGGCCCGCAGCCAGGTATGGCTCCGCTCCCGGCCTCGCCCCCAGCCTCAGCCCCGGCCTTGGGGCTGGGAGCGGAGCTGCACTGAGGCTGGGGATGGGACTAGGAGTGGGGCCGGGAGCCGGGCACACGGAGCAGAGCAGGGGGCGGGGAGGGGTTGGGTGGCGCTCCTTCCCTGCCCCCTGTGGGGTCTGGCCTGGGTCCCATTGTGCCCCCCCCGGACATTCCTCCACAACCCCCTTGGGGGGCATGCTCCACAGTTTCGGGACCTCTTCATCACAGGGTCACTGCTTTCCAGGATACAGTCTCTCCTTCTGTAGGTCTGGCCTGCATTCCTCGTTCTTAGATGTATAACTTTGAATTTGATTGTAATATACATTTAACTTATCAAATGATCCAGATCGCTCTATACGACTGCCCTATCTTCTTCATTATCTACCACTCCACCAATCTTCACATCATCCACACATGTAGTCAGCATTGATTTTATATTCACTTCCTGGTCATTGATAAAAATATTGACTAGTTTTAGGTCTTGCACCGATCCCTGCAGAACACCCCAATTCAGTGATGGTTCCCTATTGAAAACTATTTTTTGAGGCAGGTCAGGCAGTCCTTAATCCATTTAACATGGGCTCTGTTGACACTGTGTAGTGTTGATTGCATTATCACCCCACATTCTGATTAAAAGTCAAATGCCTTCCAGAAGTGTAAGTATAGTACATCTGTACAGTCAACAATTCAACTTGTAATCTCATTGAAAAAAAATTGAATCAGATTTGACGACCTGTTTTCCGTAAAACCACGTTGACTGGCATTAATTGTATTCACATTGAATCCCATATCAGTTTTTCCAGCATTGTGCCTGGAATTGATAGGCTAACCAGCCTAAAATCATCCAGATCATCTGATTGCCCTTTTTGATTACTGGCATGACATTAGAACGCTTCCAGTCTTCTGGAATTTCCCTACTGTTCCAAGAGTGAAACATGAACACCAGCTAGCTGGAGATCTCCTCAGCTAGTTCCTTTGGAGTTAGTTATCTGGGAACGCTGATTTAAAAATGTTTATCCCTCCTAGATGTCTTCTAACATCCCCCTTGGTTGCAGATGGGCTGGGAAATACTTCATCATCCTCACATGTGGAATGGATCATCCTGCTTCTTCCAGAAATATTTATGGAACACTTCTGCCTTTTCTGCATTGTTCTTAGCAGGTTTATCATGATCATAATGTAGTGATGTGCCAATACCATTGTTAGGGGGTTTGTTTGTTTTTTCTGATATGCTTAAAAAACTCCTCCTTGTTGTCCTTAGCCATGCCAGTTGTGATTTTTTTCCCCCCTGATGTCTCTGGCCTCCCTTATCAATTTTCCACACTTCATTACTTCACATTCATATTGAGTATTATCTACTTCCTCTTTCCCCCTTTTGTTATGTATTGTTCTAAGAAAATCAATCACAGAAGAAAATAGCCCCCTTTCCCCAGTGAAATCTCATCCAGACCATTTCCCCCTAAGGAACAAATCCAGATGCAATTGCAGACTCTGAAAGAAGAGAGAAGAAAGCTCCTGGGGTTTAAAGTGACTGGAGAGAGGAGAAGCCAGGAATATCTGGTAGGTGCCCATTGTTATTACCCAGCAGGGACATGGGCGTGGGTCTCTCTCTCACTGGGTCAGCCTCACTCTTTGATCAGTAGAGTGAACAATAAAAAGCAAAAGATGCTCAGGTTGCTAGATCAGCACCTAAAGCAAAACGCACAGGAGTCACCGGGAAGAAGAAATCAAACAGCCACAAGCTAGGCTGTTCCCGATCTCTTGCACGGAGCTATAACCGTGGCAGTTACTTCACCGGAATGGCCCTGTGCCAAAATAATGCAGACTTGCTCCAAACGCAAAATCGGTGGCCACAAACTAGGGGTGGAAAGTGCAAAGCACAGTCTAAAGCAGCGTTTCTCAAACTGGGGATCCCGACCCAAAAGGGGGTTGCAAGACTATTGTGGGGGAGTTGCGAGGGCGGCGGCTGCTGGCCAGGCGCCCAGCTCTGAAGGCAGCGCTGCCACCAACAGCAGCGCAGAAGTAAAGATGGCCTGGTATGGGGGGGCTGGGTTGTCACAGCCTGAAGTATTTTCAAAGGGGGTCCCAAAAAAAAAAGTTTGAGAACCCCTGGTCTAAACCCAGAGAGGATGAGCTGAGCAGGCAACGGGACAGAGAGAGGCACTTTCTACTCCAGCGGACTAAATACAAGGAAGTGAGAGACAGATATTGCCCCAAAAGTATGAGCAACCATAGAAGGTTTCTCAGCCAAACATGATGAGGATAAATTGTGTGCGACCCTGGGAGGAAGCGAAGAGACATCAGCGATAGCAGCTGGCCACTGGGTCACGAGCTTCCTAACTCTGAGGAGCGTTAAGCGCTGGGAGAGGTTAACTTGGGTGGTTGTAGAATCCTTGATCTTGGAGGTTTTTAAGGACAATTAAAGTCACCCTCCTGTACATTCAGGGCCCAGTTATATGTCCCCTGAATCTCTATGTTCTTGACCTGCCTTTCTTTTCCCTTTGTTTTAATCTGTTCATTACAGGAACAGACGAAAACCCAGAGGTGCAAGATCGTGTCGGAATTTGAGCAGCTGCGCCATCTACTGGAGGAACAAGAGCGGCTCCTGCTGGCCCAGCTGGGAGAGCTGGAGAAGGAGATTGTGAACTGGCAGAATGGGAGTGTCGCCAAACTCTCGGAGGAGATTTCCCATCTCAGTGAGCTGATCAGTGAGTTAGAGAAGAAGTATCAGCAGCCAGTGAGTGAATTCCTGCAGGTGAGACCTCCGTTCTAGGCAAGAACTGGAGCCTAGGAAATTCCGTGTCTGATTTATGGTATTTCATTCAAATATGTTGATTTTTTTACTTCACATTTTGTCATGGTTTTGAGATCCTGGGCGAGCATGGGCAGCAGGGATAACAGGCAGAGGAGGCTCTACCTCCCCTGGTGCTGCCGTGGTTGCAGGGTTTGGCGGCAAAGTTTTTGCTTTATTATGCCCCATTTAGGTTCCGGGGCGGCTGAGGGGTGGTATGTGCTATTTAGCTTCCTGGGTTCCTCAGTAATCTCCCTGGACTCCAAAGGGATTGTCACCTTGGCCTGGATTCACTCAATGTTGCAACACCTGGCTTTTCAGCCCCTTGAAAATCACTGGCATCCACCAAGCTGGGTTAGCCGCCGTGGCTCCCTATTCAATGCACGCTCGGTAGGGAGCTGCCTCAGCCAGCCAATGGGAGATGCTGATGAGAGAGATGTGTGCTAAGCCCAGAGTTAGACGCCTAAACCTGGGATGCAGGGAGGCTCCTAGCTCTGCTTGGGAGCCACAAACAGGACCTGCTCTCCTCACTTAGGCATTTCTTGCGAGAAGGACTTAGGGCCAGGGGTTCTTAAACTTCATTGTACTGCAACCCTCTGCTGACAACAAAAATTACTACATGACCCCAGGAGGCGGGACCAAAGCCCGAGCCCTGCTGCCCTGGGTGTGGGGGCCTGCAAATTGAGCTAGGCGGTGGGGCTCAGGCCTTGGCTTTGGCCCCAGATCCCAGCAAGTCTAACACGAGCCCTGGAGACCCCATTCAAATGGGGTTGCGACCCACAGTTTGAGAATCACTGGCTTAGGCATCTGCTTAACGCCAGACAAAATGGCTGGGTGAGGGGATGAAGCAGGCTGTGCCTCAGAAACCTGTAACGTAGTGGTTAGTGTACTTGCTTAGGCTGTGGGTGACCCCTGTTCAAGTCCTGCTCTGGTGAGCAGGGTGTCTGCCCCCCTCTTAGGTGAGTGCCTGCCCTAGAGGATGGACTGCGGTGGGTCTTGCTGCTTGAAGCCATCTTTGTGCTTTATTTACATATTAATTAGACCAGAGACAGAATGAGAATCACCCTCCAGTGCAGTGAGGCCTCTTCCCCTTCCTCTGACCCCATCCCTGGGTCTTGTGCTTACCTGATTGGGCCCTATGGGAAAGCTTGGAATAGGAGCCGCTCTTCTCCCCTGGTTCATGGATCGGACTGGGGCTTGGATGTGACGTAGGTGCCTGGACACCAGATGCTGCCTGCCAGAAGCTTGGGGGACTTGTACAGTGAAAATGTAGGTACAGTGTGAGGCTGGTATCCTCATTTCACACACGAGGCACGGAAAGATGAAGTAAAGCTCGCCAAAGCCACAGAGGAAGGAGCTGGGCCAGCAGCTGAACCCGGATCTAAGTCTGCCCCGGGCCATTAAGTCACTTTGTGTTAGGCAATAAAGGTCTATCGGTTGGACAGCAGGTGTGCCAGCCGGGCACACCAGCAGCGCTGCTGCGTTCAGATCCTCATGTGGCCAGATCCCGACCTCTGGGGGCCTGCTGATTGATCAGTTCGTTATTTCATAATAACTGATTTGTGCTCAAAAGGGGCAGTGGCAGGAAGGTGCGAAATTAACAAAGCACTGATGCTCACCAAATAGAGCGGAGGGTCATAGGGATAAAATGCATGGAAAGGTGCAAAGACCCTTTATTGTTCATTCTGGTTGTTATTGCTGTGAGACTGAGCTCTCTGTATCTCTCTCTCCCCTGTAGGACATCAGAAGCACCTTGATCAGGTATGTGGCTCCTTCTCCTTCCCACTTGACTGTGTGGGAAGCTCGCCCCACAACTCAACAGCAAAGCACATGGGAGAGGGCCACAGTTCAGCTTCTCCTGTCTAGCTGGGGATGACTGGCTGATTCTGGTCCCCGAAGGAAGCATGATTCAATTTGATTATATATACTGTGGCAAATTACCAGCACTACTATGATGGGTCTCGCGCTTTCTCTTCGCGGGGGGCGGTTCAGGGCGCTGTTTCTTGCCCCTGAACTGGGATATTAACTGCCCCACTAGTGTCCTAGAGGAGGGGAGTAGAGAGGGAGGGACCCGGGCCCGCCCTCTCCTCCGGGTCCCAGTCCAGGGGCCCTAGGGATAGCGATAAACCACTTGAACTAGCAGTTCCTTCCCCTGGGCTACTTCCCTCTCCTTCCCTTCAGCTTGTGGGGGCTTCCTGCCCTCCTTCTGCACAAGCCAGGTGTCCCTTTACCTAGGGTCTTGGTCTTCTTAGCCCACTGCAGCACTTCTCCAAACTTTCCTCTACTTCCCTCCAAACTGCTCTCTGCTCCAACACCAATCCACTCTGCTTCAACTCCTCCAAACTGCTGTCTGCTCCAACACCAATCCACTCTGCTTCAACTCCTC